TTTTTTTTTTTTTTTGCATTTGCCTCGGCTATAAAACTGTACTTTTATGAAGTTATTTAATAATAAAAGGGGGAAAGGGCGGGAGGGGGGAGCTATTTAAACTTTTATATTATTATATATGCGGCTTCTCAAAATCCTATTCAACTGGTAATCCCCCACTATTGCGTGTATACATAAAAACATGAATGGAATGGAATTACCAGTAACATTGGATTTTGTTTTCTTAAAAATATTCAAGTATTTTTTTTTTTTTGCATTTGCCTCGGCTATAAAACTGTACTTTTATGAAGTTATTTAATAAATGAACGAGGTTTTTTTTAGTCGCCTTTAGACGGCGGTCACGTGGCCTTCTACTCCCGGTCGAACATGATAAGAATTGCCTCTCTTTAGTGTCCCTCCTTTTCCTGCACGTGTTAGAGTACCTTGATTACCTCTCACGTTTTGATAAAAACATTCGTTTAGGTTGATGTAATCCTAAAAAGAAAAAAACAAAAAAGAAAAAACAAAAAGAGAAATATAGTAGGATTTAACACGTTGGGTGTTGGTAAAACACGGATTGACGTACCGTGGAACGGGGGCGCTCACCATTACATTATCTTTCTTTTCGAGTAGGCTCTAGGCATTTCCTCTCATTACAACCTATATTTAGCTTTATTTTACCAAATAAGTTTTTTTTTTTTCAATGTTCTAAATATATGATTTAATGTAACGTAACATAAAAGGAAATGTGAATAAAGATTTTTTTTCTGAGGTTTGTTGTACAGGTTACGCCGTCCCGCGGTCAATCAATTAACATAAGAGTCACCTTTATTGGTGAATAATGTGACGACAGAGAATTTTAGCCGAGTTAATGATTAGYTCAACCGTTCAATATTTAATTCAATTGAGTCAATAAGTCAAATTCAAGCCCAGTTGGTCATRATAGCAGGATAAAAGTTATAGTAACTTTAGGAAGTCTTTTCTTACTACAAAGAATAACGAGTTAATCCGCAGCAATAGATTGTGCATGGCTGAAACAATACGCTAACAAATCGGTTCCGATTATAACGATCTCACGGGAATATTCGGGTTAGTTCGCGTATTGTTTAGCCATGTGCTCATTAGCGCTAAATCTTCATTAACCTACGATCTCTTTAGAAATTAGTTTAGTTTTGTTGGATACGCGGTTGCCACAGACGCTTAAATCTGGGTTGT